AATCATATTTCAGTACAAATAAAATACCACCATAGTCTACTTACATAAGATTGTAAGGAGAAGATAGAAAAAAGGCTATATTTACTGTGAGGCCACATAGCTTTCAAGATAATTGATTTTTGTACATAGAAAGGGAGATCGGTGACTGCACTCCCACTGAGCTACTCCTGGCCTGGGCACCAGAGAGTGGCACCTAGCCCTAACCCATCTTTTGTTTAGCAGACACCTTTTGTTTCTCTTGTTGCTCTCTATGTGAATCTTGTCTCAGAGTCTCCCAAGGATACAAAGGCCTATGCAAAACTTGGCTCAGGAAACCTGGAGAACCTTGGTACTTGGTGAATCGAGGGATTTGCGCTTGGCATTGTATCTTTGGGAGCTTCTTTCAGGTTGTTTTGAACATATGGAAATCAAATGGCTAAACTGTAAATATAGAGAAAAATAAAAATGCCCTGGGCAAAGGGAAAGTGCTTCAGTCCTTAGAGGCTGGATTCCCCCTGTAGCTGAGAAAGGCTAAATTCTTTCTTAAGGTGCCTCTGAGTCTTCTTTCCATAGTTTCAACTGAACCCACACACCTGTGCCGTGATGATTTGATGTGGTGGTATTGTGTTCCCCAAAATATCATGTACCTTAATAAACTTATCTGGGGTCAGAGAACAGAAAAGCCACTAGTTAGGCAGTGATAGCACACGCCTTTAATCCTAGCATTCTAGAAATAGAAATCCCTCTTGATCTCTGTGAGTTCAAGGCCACATTGGAAACAGCCAAGCATGGTGACACACGCCTTTAATCCCAGAAAGCCAGCCTTTAATCCCAGAGAGTGGTGGTAGAAAGCAGAAAGATATATAAGGCATGAGGACCAGAAACTAGAAGCATTTGGCTGGTTAAGCATTTGGCTGGTTAAGCATTCAGGCTTCTAGCAGCAGTTCAGCTGAGAGCCATTGGGATGAGGACACAGAAACTTCCAGTCTGAGGAAATAGGACCAGCTGAGGAACTGGCAAGGTGAGATAGCTGTGGCTTGTTCTGTCTCTCTGATCTACCAGCATTGACCCCAATAACTGGCCTCAGGTTTGATTTTATTAATAAGAACTTTTTAAGATTCATGCTACAATTTGAGACATAAATGCTAGTTGGGGTTTCATTTTTGAGAAATTATAAATACATCAGTGTTAGTCTCTACTAAGCCTGAAATCTCAGTGCCATTTATGTATAATTTTAGCTTTGGCCTTTCATCGTTAATAACAGTTTGTGAAAATACTTTCTTTCCAGTACTTTTAAAACCTCCTGTTCTATACACTGGAGCTGCTTTACCTTTAAGATACAGGAGCAATAGTAATTGAGCAATTCTATCACCAGATTCTATTTCCATAGTCTTTTTTTTTCATGTAAGTCATAATTTTAATTTCTCCCTGGTAATTTTCATCTATAATTCCTGGTTGAAAAAATAAATTCTTAAGATATTAAACTACTTTTTCCCATAATAATTCCAGTTGTCTCTGGGGGAAGAAGACCATGCACTCCAGTGGTTATTTTGTAACAAGTAATTTGTGGAGATAATGTTAAATGTTTACCCACTAAATCCAAAGCAGCACTTCCTGAGGTAGCATACATTAAATCTCCAATACTGAGCCTAATTTCCCTGGTTGCTCTATTGATGAGCCATATCATTGCTGACATATATTGAGCCATATATTGCTGGCTCATGTTGTTTATTCCTGGGCCCCAAGCTAAGCCCTTTATCTGGTTTCCCAATGGTAAAAGATTGCCATGTACATTTCTGACTGATCTACGAATATTAGTCCAATGATTGCCTCTTTCACACCTCTTACAAACTTCCCAACGTTAAGAACCTTTTCCTTGATTACATTGAAGGGAAACATTTCCTTTTGAAATTCTTGCTGACAATCCTTCTTTAAATGCCCCATTTTTTTACTGTGAGATCAAAGTCTTTTAGCCAAGGCCTGCCCAATAATATTGGCATTGCAAGTAGTAGATCTAATATCAGCAGTGGCCTTAATCTAATCTTCTAGAGGAGCTCCCTGAGCTTTCAAAGGCCTTATTTATGGCTTTCTCACATTCTGTATTTACATTTTCAAAAGCTAAAGACTCAGCCAAAACTTTTCTAACATCAGGATTAGCCACTGCTCTATGCACTGCTAAGGTTATTTTTTGTAAAAAAAAAAAAAAAAAAAAAAAAATCAGTGTAAGCTTCTCCTGAACTTTGTGTAAATTTTGTAAATGAGGTAGTTCTCCCTGGCTCTTCAGCCCTATCCCAAACCCTTAAAGCTGTTAGAGGACATTGTACAATAGTTGCATCATCAAACAGTACTTGTCTTTGTAAGTCAGCATCTTGACCCTCACCCAACAATTAGTCCTTCAGTTTATTTCCTCCTCTAGCCTGATTATGCTGTTCTATGACTGTTGTTGCTGTTTTGCATCAGGTGAGTCATTGTAATTGAGGACCAGCGTCCAGTATAGCATTCATGTGGTCCTTTTAATCTTGTGCAGTAATTCTATTCTGTATGGCTCAGTTACTTAAAACTGTCTTATTTGAGGTGAATGCGTTTCATATGCCACCACTGCTTCCTTAAATCACCTTAAATCTGTCATGTCTGTAGGTTTCCAATCAATCTGAACAAAGCCTTGTGGATATTGATCTTTTGCTGCAAAGTAATGGGAAAAATCTGTGGAGATGCTAGTATTACCTTAGGCTGCCATTCCTTTATTCCTTCATAAAGTGGCACTGTAGGTTCACAATTAAACATTTCCCTTTCTTCTATGGGGAACATTCCTTTTCTTTCTCCTTTTTTTACTGGGAAAATTTCTTTTTTAAAATCGTCTTTCTTTAACCTTTCTCTATTGTGAAGATAACTTTTTTTTAGCTTCCTTTCCTTCCCCTTTCTCTATTGGGAAGATAACTTTTTTTTTTCCTGGATATTTTGTGTTATGACTTTGTTGACTTTAATGTTTTCTTTGACTGACAAATCTATTTCCTCTATTGTATCGTTAACACCAGAGATTCTCTTTCCATCTCTTACATTCTGTTGGTTATGCTTGCATCTGTAGTTCCTGTTCGTTTACTCAGACTTTCCATTTCCAGCATTCCCTCAGTTTGTGTCTTCTTTATGGTTTCTATTTCAGTTTTCAAATCTTGAACTGTCTCCTTCACATCTTTCATTGCCTTTTCTTGGTTTTCTTTAAGGGATTTATTGATTTCTTCTGTTTTGTTTGTCTTTTCTTCAATTTCTTGAAGGGAATTTTTCTTTTCCTGTTTAAAGGCCTGTATCATCTTCTTAAAGTCATTTTAAGGTAGATTTCTTCTGCTTCTTCTGTGTTGGGATGTTTAGGTCTTGCTGATGTAGTACCACTAGGTTCTGGTGGTGCCATATTGGTCTTTAGGTTGTTTACTGTGTTTTTTTTCCCCCCGAGATAAGGTTTCTCTGTGTAGCTTTTGGAGACTGTCCTGGAACTTACTTTGTAAATCAGGCTGGCCTCGAACTCAGAGATTCACCTGCCTCTGCCTCCTGAGTGCTGGGATTAAAGGCATGTGCCACCACTGCTGGCCATGTTTACTGTATTATTTGCACTGGCATCTACCCATCTCTTCTTCCACTTGCTTCAAGTGGTGTCTGTGTCTGAGAGAGCCTCTCTTGGTCCACTCGACACTCTTCGTCCAATTGCAGCTCTTGGTCCAATGTGAACTCTTCCTCCAATGTGAGCTTTTGGTCTAATTGAGGCTCTTGGTCCAATTGGAGCTCTTAGTCCAATTGGTGCTGGTGTAATCTATGTCTCAGGGAGCAGCTGTGGCCTTGGAGGGTGGATTGGTTTGGGGAGTGGGGTGGAGCTTGTAGATTACAGGGTCCAGTGGTGGATGATGATAGTCTGGCCTGCCTACAGGGGTCCTACCTCCTGGCCTGAAACTGAGGCTGCAGTGGGTGGTGGTAAGGGAGTGCGGGGTTGTGCTTCTGGGCTCAAAGCCTAGAGGCTGGGGTGATTGTCTAGGAGAACAAAGACTTACTTCTTAGTCCAGTGGGTGCTGGTGGACTCTGTCTCAGAATGCAGTTGTGGTCTCAAAGGATGTGTGGGTTTGGGGGTGGTGGGGCTTGTAGGTTACAGAGTCTGGTCAGACATGGTGGTAGTCCAGCCTGCCTGTAGGAGGCCTGCCTATTGCCCTGAAACAGGCTGTAATGGGTGGTGGTGTGGGGGCACAGGGTTGTGCTCCTGGGCCCAAAGCCTAGAGAGCAGCTGGGGTCTTGGAGGGTGATGCTGGTCTTTTCTTAATCTCTCTTTAGTCTTAATCATTTTTATTTGTTATTTATTCTTAATCATTCTATTTATTTGTTTGTTTGTTAGAGACAGGGTCTCACTGTGTAGCTCTGCCTGTCTTTTAAATCTCTACATAGATCAGACTGGCTTCAAAATCACAGAGATTCACCTGTCTCTGCCTCTTGAGTTTTGGAATTAAATGTGTGTACCACCATGCCTATCTTGTTCATTCTTTTTTGAAGTTAGGAGTTCTGATACAGTTTTGCTGATGTATACTCAGTAGTGTTGCTGTGTTTGCATGTCTATCTATATATCTATTAGTAGTCATTTCTCTTGCAATGCCATGTACTGTTGTGGGCACAGAATCTTGAAGTGTGATCTTCCTTTTCTGTTTCCTTCTAAAATGACTTGGTGACTGCATTTGAAATTCTGTGACATGGAATAAATATATGGAGCCAACAGAATCATGTGAATGTACTTTCTTTTTTTTTTTTTTTTTTTTTTTTGGTTTTTCGAGACAGGGTTTCTCTGTGTAGCTTTGCACCTTTCCTGGAGCTCACTTGGTAGCCCAGGCTGGCCTCGAACTCACAGAGATCCGCCTGGCTCTGCCTCCCGAGTGCTGGGATTAAAGGCGTGCGCCACCAACGCCCGGCGTGAATGTACTTTCAATGAAATGTATTTTTACACTTCATTCAGTCTCACCATTTCTATTTCATACATATGTGGGATACTTTAGGATACAGTGACCTTGGAGGATGTGCATGTCAATTTCACCCATGAAGAGTGGGCTTTGCTGGAACCTTCCCAGAAGAGTCTCTACGAAGATGTGATGCTGGAAACCTGCATGAACCTCACTGCTATAGGTAGGAATGCTAGTTTTTTTTGTCACTTTTTCCAAGAAGGGGACAAGCATTTCTTGATCATTGATGCTTTCACTGCTATAGGTAGGAATGCTAGTTTTTTTTTGTCACTTTTTCCAAGAAGGGGACAAGCATTTCTTGATCATTGATGCTTTCCTGTGATTTCAGTTGTGATAAAGGAAGAACATGGGGAATAAGTCAGGCATGGTTCTCAGGTTCAACAAAGATAGTGACTTAAAATTTGTATAATTTCCTATAATATATCATACATTTTGTGGTACTGTATTTTAGGCTACAAATGGGAAGACCAGAATATTGAAGAACATTATCAAAGTTCTAGAAGACATGAAAGGTAATTTACATATGCGAGATGATCCATATGCATCTCTGAAGAAATTTCAGTGTGCCCTGAAGCTTAAGAAAAGACAACACTGTAAGCACAGCTTTATGATGACTATTAATTCTCACAAACCAATGCACCTCAATGTCAGGTAGGTGATCCATGTTTCCAAGGCATTCTTGTAAGAAAGAAGACAATAAAACAATGTGTTAACACATGGCACTATTTTAATCATAGCCCCGTGAGATTCATTTTGTAGAACTGTCTATCCCTTTCATATCATTTAAGTGTCATATAGGCATACACATTGATTAGGGGGCTCAATGTATGTCCAAGGCCTTTTGTAAGCAAATAGTCCATAGTAAAGCTAGTGTTGCTCATATACTTATAGAAACTTACAATAGTTTATTGAGAGGGGCAGTTTATGAGAGCCAAGAAGGTTGTCATGGTGGAGAAACTTTAGTCTCTATACCACATCTCTATGAGGAACAAAAAGTTAGATTGTGTGAATGCAATGTGAAAACCTTTTCTTTGTTATTCTTCCTTTGATAGGTATCTCATCTGTCCTTCTGGCTACAAATCATTTGAACATAAGGGATATGGGAAGAAGCAATGTACCTCTTTCGGAGTGCCCACTATGAGAAGACTTGGTGAATGTGATACAAGTTTACAATTAATTGGTTTTCCAACTACACTGGGAATACATCAACAAACTCACACTGGAAAAAAACCTTATGATTACAAGGAATGTGGGAATTCTTCTGTCTGTACTGGTTCACTTTGCAAATGTAGTGTGACCCACAGTATAGAACAATGTTATGCATGTAATCAGTGTGGTAAAACTCTGAGTTCTTCCAGTTGTGTTCAAAGATGTAAAACTCATATGGGAAGAGGAAGTGATAAATATGACCCATGTACTATAGACTTGAACCATCATTGGTATCTTCAGACAGACAAAAGAACCCATAATGAAGAGGATCTTTATGAATATAATCAACATGATAAAGACTTTAGATCTGATTCCTCTTTACAGTTACACCAAAGAACTCATTTGGAAGTAGAATCCTATAAATATAATCAAGGTGCAAAAGACTTTGAACATTACAGTTGCTTTCAAGTACATAGAATACATACTGATGAGCAACCATGTGAATGCAATCAATGTGGTAAAGCCTTTGCCAGTTGCCATAATCTTAAAATACCTGAAAGAATCCTTACAGGAGAGAAACCCTATGTATGTAATCAATGTGGTAAAACTTTTGTAAGTCGCCATAATCTTAAAATACATGAAAGAATTCATACTGGAGAGAAACCCTATGTATGTAATCAATGTGGTAAAGCCTTTGTATATTTAACTAGTCTTCGAAATCATGAAAAAACACATACTGGGGAGAAACCCTATGTATGTAATCAATGTGGTAAAGCCTTTGCCTGTCGCAGTAATCTTCAAATACATGAAAGTACTCATACAGATGTGAAACCCTACAGATGTAATCAATGTGGTAAAGCCTTTGCACATATAATTTATCTTCAAAGGCATGAAAGAAGTCATACTGGAGACAAACCATTTGAATGTAATCAATGTGGGAAGAGCTTTACCCATTTCAGTCGTCTTCAAAAACATTTCAAAATTCATAGTGGAGAGAAACCCTATGAATGCAGTCAATGTGGTAAAGCCTTTGGAAGTCGCAGTAATCTTCAAACACATGAAAGAATTCATACTGGAGACAAGCCCTTTGTGTGTAATCAGTGTGATAAAGCCTTTGTAAGTCGCCGTAATCTTCAAATACATGAAAGAACTCATACAGGAGAGAAACCTTATGAATGTAATCAGTGTGGTAAAGCCTTTGCACATTTCACTAGTGTTCGAAATCATGAAAAAATTCATACTGGAGAGAAACCCCATGTATGTAATCAGTGTGGTAAAGCCTTTGCATGCCGCAGTAATCTTCAAATACATGAAAGTACTCATACAGGAGTGAAACCCTACAGATGTAATCAATGTGGTAAAGCCTTTGCACATATCATTTATCTTCAAAGGCATGAAAGAAGTCATACTGGAGACAAACCATTTGAATGTAATCAGTGTGGGAAAGGCTTTACACATTTTAGTCGTCTTCAAAAACATTATAAAAGCCATAGTGGAGAGAAACTATATGAATGTAATAAATGTGGTAAAGCCTTTGGAAGTCACAGTAAACTTCAAACACATGAAAGAATTCATACTGGAGAGAAGACCCATGTATGTAATCAATGTGGTAAAGCCTTTGTAAGTCGCCGTAATCTTCAAATACATGAAAGAATTCATACTGGAGAAAAACCCTATATATGTGATCAGTGTGGTAAAGCCTTTGCACATTTCACTAGTTTTCGAAATCATGAAAAAATTCATACTGGGGAGAAACCCCATGTATGTAATCAGTGTGGTAAAGCCTTTGCCTGTCGCAGTAATCTTCAAATACATGCAAGTACTCATACAGATGTGAAACCCTACAGATGTAATCAATGTGGTAAAGCCTTTGCACATATAATTTATCTTCAAAGGCATGAAAGAAGTCATA